GAGATCTCAAAATTTATTTTTCTGAAAACATCTCTGTAAAACTCTCTGAATGAGATCTCAAAAACTTTCTGTAAATCTTTCTGAAAGAGATCTCATAAACTTTCTATAAACTCTTTGTGGCTAATTTTAACTGTGGGCCCGTGATATGTACTCAATGGCGCCAATCCGACAGCTCAGGGGAGCGACCCACTAAACATATCGGACTATCTAAAACTAAAACTGCTAATCTGAGGGATCTAGTTCCCGAGTACATATCACTTAATCTTTCACTTTAAGTATTAGTTCTTTTTATGGTGACTTTTGACTAAAAACCTCATTAAATCTGGAAACTAAAGTACTAACAAATCTTGACTATGCCAGATAATAAACATAACTTAATCTAGCAATAAAATAACTCATCACATAATTCACATAGTTCACATAATAGCAAATAGTCTAAAATTATCTATTAAAAATCAACCAGACTTCCTTCTTGCATTTGGTTGAACAAACATGTACAGGTGGTAGTGAACTTACCTGATAGAAGCTGAACTCAAACTAATCAAACAAGTGTGGCACCTTGATAACGTCTCCCGATAAGCTCTTCTTAAAACTCTTTAGTTAAATATACAATATAGTTAGAATTTACTGGAGGAAGAAAATCCTTTCTTACTGCTAAGATCAAATAAAAATTATCACTATGTGCGCAGGTGCACCATCTCAGAAATCACGTTGCTTATGTGGTTTACAACTGGTGCAACCTAATTTGAACCAAAAACTATATCAACTCCAAGCTGAAACTTTCTAAATTAACAACAAACTGAAATTTTCTATATTAACAGCAGACTGCTGGACGGCTTGAACATTAACTGCTTGAAAAATTGTACTAAACTAAAGTTTAGTTTAACACCCTAAGTCCCTAACTAATCAGCCCCTTTAAAGTCAAAATTTTAATTACAAAACTAAGGTGTTGATGCTGATTCCAGAAAAATGCTAAAAACCCCTAAATCATAATAACACGTAGTGGAAGAATAGCTTGTTGTTAAAATTTTACACTAATGATTAATTTTGTAAAAACCGTATTTCTATTTAAGCTATCTCTATTTAAACTAAAGTAGTAAAAGCTGAGTCACTGTCATATATACTCACAGAGGTAAGGAAGAACGATTACTGAGAACGAAATAAACATTGCTGATTAAAGATGTTATGATCCGAATAAATCTGGGAGGATGAATTTAAGAGTTCAAGGAGAAAAGAAGAGATGGAGGAAATTTAACATAGAGGGAAAAGGAGTTCAGCTTACCTTGTTAAAAGATGCAGAAACAATAATCTGATTAAAGCTTTGGCCAACAATTTAAGAGCTGGAGAGAAACTTTTTGTGGTGACTCAAGTAGAACGGCAGACTACTAGGTAAAGGATAAAGAGTCGACTAGCCAAGCTTGAGGGTTTAAGAGTGATAATATATTAATAGCTATCTCTTTCTAGGGATTCCAGTCAAAATATTAATTCGGGCCAAGATAAGTGGTTTGGATCTCATAGTCCTCTATGAAATACTTGTGACCCAACAGAATGATAATATTCTAATTATATATTAAGATAGTATTTATTTCTTTGATTAACATTATTATTATGAGCTTACCGGTCAACGTTACCTGCCACAAACAGAACATGATAAAACAATAAATCACATTAACCATAAAATAAACTTGTATAACTGACTGAAATAATAATAACTAAAGTAACTAGCTCGTAAAATCGGGGTGTTACATTAAAAGTTCATTATTACTCATTCTCTAGAAGTCGTGATTTTCATCTCAATAATGGAGGTTGAATGCTCAATTAAAATGTCATGATGTTCAACTAACAAATGTTACGATTTTCATATCAATGTGCACTTTGTAAGTTATATATGTTCATTTGGTACTCATGTTATGCTCATTTTTACAAGAATAAATTACATAGATATTACCGGTGGAAGAGTCATTAACATAAATATCACTAAAGATTATCTGATGTTTAAATTAATAGAAACGCTTATCCGCTATTCCATCTTTGTCCTCGCTCTCTCACCTTCCCTGATCTGTAAACACTCTCTCGTTCCCAAATATCTTATCCACCGAAACTCTGCCCCTAAATTCCTATGGTATTTTGTCCTCCTTTCGTAATTCCTATTACCTCTAAACCTTAATTCATTTGTTGACTTGTCATTGCACATGATGGCAGGCTGTTGAAACTCTAGGGCAGATAACTAATTCGTCTAATTCTCGAACATGACAAGTCACGAATGTCTAATTCATTAGTTACTTCGGCTACAATACTACCTTTCCATTACTACTGAAACCCTTACATTTTCCTTTATTTAATCTCAGTTACTACGTACCATGTGAATAATTATTTTAATTCAAGTAATTAATAAAATAGTAAAAGCTAAGTGACTACTGCCCCTTTACTGATCATTAGTTACTTCTAGTACATTACTATATCTAGGAGATCCCTATAACAATTACTAACGCACATGCTATTACATCAGATTGCCGCATCACATATATAACTTCGAAAAACAAGCAAATGAATATAGGGTTGCATTTTACAACCGATGAACCAAATTGGTTTACAATGATGTCCTCCCTTTTTTAACGAAGCTTTGCGGCTCAATTTTTTTTGTCTCACGTTTGCACGTTCTTAATATAGGGTTGCATTTTCATCTTCATTTTTTGCTATGAATCATCAATTTCGTGATTTTCGTCCATAGCCCGCAAATTCAGCCTTTCCTGATTGCTTCATAACATAATCATTCTACGGGGCAAGAAGGTCCTTTTAATTCTTTCGATATGTGTTTGCATACGTATTTACTTATCTTGGTCACTATTTTGTAAGCATGTTTACTATTGGTAATATTTATGTAAAAAAACTCTTTTTACAATGCCATATCAATGTAATTCTCCTTTTATAAAAACTTATTAAATTATATTTCTAATCAACTCCTATGAATTTCAATATGTGAACCTAATGTAAAATAGTACTTTAAAGAAAATATGCTGATATGACATTTAGAAAATAAGCATAAGATCAGTACTGGATGAGCATGCACATCTTACAAAATGTTTCCTAGATATGAAAATCGCAAAGTTTGTTAGTTTGAATAACAACATATTCATTGAGCATCAAATATCATCTATTGAGATGAAAATCACTGTTTCTGTTAAATGAGCATTATTAAACATTTAGTGTGCATTAGACCTATTATGAGCATTAAAACAATTTTGATGAGCATCACGCTTATTAGGAACCTAACACTATATAAAAAAATTATAAATATATTTATATAAATTAATACTATCATTCATAGATCAAATAAATACTTCAAAAATATGAATTACTCTTTTAATATAGTAATAATGAGAAAAAGCAAAAGAATAGTTAATATTATAATTACTATTAATAATACGCAGTATGAAACAATATATGATAAGTAAGATAAAAGAACTAATTATTTAAACAAGACGACTTGGTGAGATGGTTGGAAGATAGCATATGCTACTATGGGTCTAGGGATCAAGTCCCATTGGGGTTCTTAATTTTTGTGTGAAGGAATCCAGTTGCCTATGGTCGCGATTCGCTGGGATGAGATGTCAGCCCACCAGTCAAATTCATTAATTGGGCCGGATGTACGTACACCCGAGTGTACGATATAGAGACTCGCGCTGGGCTGGCGCCCGAGTAGCGCCTAACGCCTTTTAGAACATTGGTTGCACACTTCCAAAATTTCACCTCCACTAAATCTTACTACGTACTTAATTATTTAATTTATCAATTTTTTCATTTAATTGTTTTCGTGTTTGGTGTTTTAATTGTTTACTTGTTTGGTGTTTGACCTAATTTGGACTATTGGAGAATGGAGACTAATCGTCCTGGTTTGATTTTTTTAAACTTAATTCATCTACTGAATACTGATTGGCATAATGAATGGTGTAATTTCTAATTATTATTTATTGATGATTAGTTATTGGTTATATAGTTGGACTCATGGAGTAGTTGTTAACTAATAATGATCAAACTACGCCCTTTTTAACTTAATTCAAATAAATAAACGCAATTTGTTAATATGTACTTAATGTAGTACAGTACTAATACATATGTACAATAACATATACTACGTACGAAATAATTCCAAATATATAATTAAAATAAAAGTAGTGAATAAAAATGTGACTATAATAACTTTAGTTACTATAATTCTATTCAAATGTTACATAATACTCCGTAGTTATTATAAAACTTAGGGAAAATCACACTTTTAGTCCCTGAAATAGTCATCATATTGAAATGTCAAATCTTTATTTCTGAGTTTGTAAATGTCATCTCTCAATTGTCCAAATTGATGTAAATGTGGTCCTTCAGAGATGAAATGTATTTCTCGCCCATATTGTACATTTCACCCCTTAAAGTACATTTCTCGCACAATTGAGGGGTGACATTTACAAACTCAGAAATATAGGTCTGACATTTCAGGGACTAAAAGTGTGATCTTTCCTAAAACTTACACGGAGTACATAGTAACTTATAGTCACATTATTGTCCATATATTTTTTATTAGTATTATTTTAGGAAAAAACTCTATATGTATACATAATCTAAATAGAATATCTTAGTTATGTTACTATAAAATTTGTATGTAAATTATTAATAACTTTGACCCGACTTACTTTACGCTCTCTGGTTTCGACTCACAATCTTGACATATTTTATCGCTCCCTCAAAAATTAGTCTGGTTCCGTCATTGGGTATCGGATTTTTCAAAAATAAATTCTTCTCTTATTAGGATTCCAGACTGGAAAAAAATCATATACACCTTTATAAGGTTATTTGAAAAAAAATGTACCGAGTACATGATAAAGACGATAGAAGCGTTTTGGGGGGCAAAAACGGAAAGATGCATTACTATTCATACGCAAGCCATGAGGTCAGGTTGAGGAAAATGGGAAATTTGGACCCCAAGCTTCTTAAATTGCAATTAATTAGTCTTCCCTCTATAACCCTATCCCTTCCCCATATAAATGTGTGAAGCTCTGCCACTGGTCAGTAAACCAAACCAAAAGCCCAAATATTTCCCCTGCTCTTGAAAAGCCAGAACAGAGCACCGCCATAAAAAAACCGGAAATGGTACAGATCATGAGCAGCTGCCGGTCCGACCAGACGATTCAACCACGAAGAGGACATATCAAGGCCAGGATTCTCCGGACTTTGGTCAACTCAGCTTCCGAGCTGGTCTCATTTTCGGTCCAATCGAAAACAAAGCGGAAGGATGTCGGGCCGGGCACACTTAGCCCAGATTCTTATCGCACCCCGACTCGAACAACTAGTCGTTTTGATTTTCATTCTTCCTAGCTTGAGACTGTTAGGAGATGTTTTTCAATTATGTTTCAGCAAGTTGTTAGTCTTGTAAATTAAGAGCTTAATAATGTTTCAGCAAGTTGTTAGTCTTGTAAATTAAGAGCTTAATAATGTTTCAGCAAGTTGTTAGTCTTGTAAATTAAGAGCTTAATAATGTTTCAGCAAGTTGGAAGTGTTGTAAATTAAGCTCGTTTGGTGTGATTCTTCTCTTTGTTTATTAATCTTATCATTTAATTTTTTCACTGAATTTTTGAGCTTAACTAAAAGTAAACTCAATATAAATAATGTTGAATTTACTTTTCTGAATGAATTAGTTGAAATTATTGTAAATCATTTTAGCTATTTTTTTATAGATTTTTCTTTATTTTATCAATACAATATATATATTTTTTTTTAATAAATCATCCGAATCAACCAATTCAGCCACTTTAATAAAAAATTCGTAAAGTTAAATCAACTAATTCATTCAATTTCAATGTTTTGAAATGAATTTCAAATGAATAAAAAATTGTACGTGATCAATAATTCACTAATTCATGTCGTGATGTCCTTTCGCTTCTTCAATGTACTTGTTCATTTAATAATATATTTACTGGTGTTTTAAATAAAGTTCGTAGTCTGATTTTGTGGTTTTGCATGTTTTTACTTGGACTATAAGTCTAGTCTGAACTGATCCGATCTGGCGAACGTCTAGTCTCTATATATTTATAACTACGAAAGTCAAATTTGGTCCGGTTTGATATGTCTAAGTCTGATCTGATCTAGTCTCTTTAAGTCCAGTCTGATCTGATCTGTTTAAGTCGGGAAAGTTCCCGAAATAGGACTAAAACAGTTTGAAAATTCCAAAATAGGACTGCCATGTTTTTATTCCCAAAATAGGAGTAATTACTGCCAAGTTTGAAAAATACTGCCATATTTGAAGTCTTGTACTGCCAAAACATGACAGTAATTAGTCCTATTTTGGGAATAAAAACATGTCAGTCCTATTTTGGAATTTTCAAACCTTTTTAGTCCTATTTTGGGTAAATTCTCGTTTAAGTCTGATCTGGTTTGGTCTGAGACTAAAAAATGTGGATTTTTTATTTTTGACTTTCCCATTTTGCATTTATGGAAAGCAGATTATGTGTACGTACTACGTAGTGAGAGACAAAATGAGTGTAAAGTAGATAAATAAAATAACAATATAAGGGTAAATTTATATTAAAAACTTGCAGATCAACTTCCTAGTTCGGCTCAGGTTTGACTCGTTCTCAATTCGGATTTCGCTCATAAACCTCTAGGATTGAACTCGAATACGATACTCGAACTCAAACAAAATATGATTTTTCTACTCCCTCCGTATTTAAAAGTTTCTTACACTTTCCTATTTGGGATATATTTAAAAGTTTGCTACACTTTCCCTTTTAATACGTTTTTCTTTTAAAAATACTCAATTACCTTTATTTTTTGGGAAAAATAATTAAAATACCTCAAACTTTGAAGGGGTGTGAGATGAGCACCCCAAACTTGCATATGTAATTTAAATACCCCAAGCTTTGTATAGAAGTTATTTTAGCACCGTAGTCAAGTATTTTTTTTCAAATAATGTAAATTATGGTGTTAATTACATAATTTAAAATACTTTAGAATTCATGAAGACACAATCAACATTCTAAACTTCCATTGCGAAATAAATAATGTTACCTGCAATCTATATAATTGCAACACTTTTAATTTGCTATTTTAATTTATGCAATTAACCCCATAACTTTACATTTTTGAAAGAAATAATACATGACCATGGTGCAAAAATAACTTGTTATATAAAGTTTGGGGTATTTAAATTACATATGCAAGTTTGGGGTGCTTATCTCACACCCCTTCAAAGTTTGGGGTATTTTTATTATTTTTCCCTTATTTTTTCTACCTTTTATCTTCTCTTTTCCTACTTTTTTTTTTACTTCAGGGGGTCTGAGGGAGGGGGTCTGGGGGGCCTGGAGTAATCAGGGCTGAAACTCACTCCATTGAGTTTCAAACCCCTATGGGCCTAGCGGATTTCGAACTCGAGACCTCTCACTAGGCACGGTAGCCTCACAACCAACTGCGCTAGAATGCTTAGTTATCTTCTATTTCCTACTTTTTCACATTCTCTCATACTTTTTCTATACTATTCATTAGCTTTATTATTCTTCCCTTAAATCTTGTGCCAAGACCTAATGTTGGGATCATTTAAATACGGAGGGAGTATTTTGGATTATTTTTTATGTGCTCTATTTTTTTTTTTTAGGAATGCTCTAAATATTCGAAAATAGAAAGTTGTTTTTAGCTCAAGTTCGAGCATATGATTCGAGCTCGACCCTATAAAACTTAATGAGAAAAATTTGAAGCGAGCGCGAGTCAAGTTTGAGCAGAACTGAAAGAATATCAAGAATTTTCATTAGACACAGAGTAGTGTTTTTTTTTAGAGGAAAATATTTAATAAACATTAATCAAATCGTTGGCCAAAGCCGAAACAATGAAATCAGGAGGAAGATCAACCCACGACTACAAATCAGACAAAGAACAAGCCGCCCTAGCTAACAGATGAGCTGGCTTATTCGCTGATCGCCTCACATGACAAAATGAAATGAACGAAAATGAATCCGCTAAATCTTTAATGTCGTCTCTCAGAAGTCCCACCAAAGAGTAGCTTGAACCTCCTTGGATCTCCGTTATCGCCCCAGCTGCATCAGATTCAATTTCTACCGAGGTGATTCCAAACTCCTTCAACCAGCTCAATGCTTCCCGGATGCTCACAAGCTCAGCACCCAACACTGTTAGCACTCCTGGCCATGATTTTGAAACCCCTGCCACAAACTAACCCTCTGAATTTCTCAAGCACCATCCTAGTCCGCATCGGTCTGACCTCATTGTCGCGTCCACGTTCAGCTTCCATCTACCCTGCTCCGATCTGCTCCAGGTAGCACTTCCTTGCAAACTGGCCGGCAAACGCCTTCCCCTGGAAACCTGCTGTTGAGCTTGCTGCCATCCTTCGACCAGCACCCGGCCTCGGTAAACTGCTTGCTCCGCCGAAAATGTCATTCCTTTCCACACTCTCTAGTTCCTCTCTTGTCCATAACGACCAGCAGCCCCAAATCAATTGCACTAAGTCCATCGTCTTCCTCCTTTTAAATTCCTCATTAAGCTGCTCCAAAAAAAGCCAAATCCCCCGACGAGCTCCACTGCCATTGCATCGCTACCCAGAAGTTCGTAGCAGCCGGACACAACCTAAATAAATGTTCGAGCGTCTCAGGCTCCACTCCACAAAGACCGCATCGTCTCGAGCAAGGCACTCTTCGAACCTACAAATGAAGCCGCGAAGGAAGACAACCGCTACATACCTTCCAGAAAAACATTTTAATTTTAGGTGGAATATTGAAATTCCACATAGCCATCCATAGCATCCCTGGTTGGTTACCTAGCTCCCCCCTTATCCATCTGTAGCAACTCCTAACGGAGAACTAGCCACATTCCTCCCACCTCCAGCAAATCGAGTCCGCGATTTGTGATCTCCTCAAAGGAATACCCCTTATAAGAACTGAATCTCTCTCCACAAAAATGTCATTAATGATATCTCTATCCCACTCTCTCTGATCGGTACAGAAAAGATTAGTCACCACTGCCCCCTCTAATTCCTCATACTTTTATGAGATAACACGAGGATTTTCCCTGTCCGGGAGCCAAAGCTCCTCCCAAATATTAATAGAATGTCCGTCTCCCACTCTCCAGTAATAGCCCTCCTGAATGACCTCTTGTGTATGAATAAGGCTTCGCCAAATAAAAGACGGGTTATTCCCCGATTTTGCAATTAGGAAACTCCCCTTGGGATAATACCGAGCTTTAAAAACTCTCCCCACTAGTGATTCAGGCTTTGTTAAAAGTCTTCAGGCCTGCTTGGCCAGCATAGCAATATTAAAGTCTCTGAGTCTCTTAAAGCCCAAACCGCCAGCTTTTTTAGGAACACACAGGGCCGCCCAATCCTTCCAATGAATTCCCTTACCTGTCTTACCTTTGCACCAATATGCATTCATCAAAGTTTCAATCTCCCGACAAAGGTCAACAGGTAAAAGGAAAACATTCATAGAATAAGTAGGCATGGCCTGGATAACCGCCTTAAACAAAACTTCCCTCCCCGCTTTTGACAAAAATTTATTATTCCAGTTATTAATGCGGTTAACAACTCTTTGTCTGAGATAGTTTAAAATATTTTCCCGGTTCCGCCCTACTAGAGCCGGTAACCCCAAATATCTCTCCTCCTCTCCAACCAGCCCAACCCCCAAAAGATCAATAAGACCCGCCTGGTAATCATTCATCACATTAGAGCTAAAGAACACCTTAGATTTATTATAATTGATTACCTGTCCAGAAGCACCCTCATAATCAGCTAGACACTCTTTTACCAGGGAAGCTTCATCATGATTAGCTCGGAAAAATAACAAACTATCATCTGCAAAAAAATAAGTGAGATATCATAGGAGCCCCCGAGCAATAGAAACACCATGCAACCTGCCCATCTGCTCATATCTTCGAAATAATGCACTAAGACCTTCTGCCACCTGCAGAAAAAGATACGGGGAGAGAGGATCCCCTGACGTAACCCCCTTTTCGGCGCAGCTAGATCTATCATCCCGTCATCAAATGGAATAGAATAAGAGACATATGTCACACATTCCATAATCAATCCGGCCCACTTCGCATCAAAGCCCAAACAAGTCATCATCCCTTCCAAAAACGGCCATTCAACCCGGTCATAAGCCTTACTCATATTCAATTTGAGCCCAATATACCCAACCTTCCCTTGCCGTTTACATTTCAAAAAATGTTGAGACTCAAAGGCTCGCATGATATTATGAACAATATATCTATCCGGAATAAAGACACTTTGTTGTTCAGAAATGCAGAGGTGAAGAATATGTTTCATGCGATTAGCCAACATTTTAGAAAAAAAATTATAAAGCACGTTACAAAGTGCAATGGGTCTCCAGTCACTCATACTCTCTGGGTTTCAGTTTTAGGGATAAGCACAATAAGAGTATGATTAATATGATTGGGGAGCTTACCACTCTCAAATGAATGCTTGCAAAAACAGAGTAGTGTTTTTACACGTGTTTTGACATAATAATATAAAAACAAATCTTGGTGTAGGATAGGGCGCAACATGACATTCATTTATTTTGTATTTTTTTTTAATTATTTTAATTTGATATCTTAAATTATGTTTTTAGTATATTTTAATTAGGTTTTTATTTTTTATTTGAATATCTTGAATTATTTTTTCATCATGTTTTATACTCCCTCCGTCCCCAGTTGAAGTTAGTGTTGCGCTTTACGGTGCTTGACCGACGATAAAGCAAACAGATCCTTATCCGCACTCAAATTATTTTTAGATTTTTTTACATATTCAGAAACTACATTAAAACCTTTACAAAATCGCAAAAACCAGAATCAAATTTGATGAAAATTTGATATATAAAAAGTTAATTAGGTAAGAGATTAAGAATGATGTTGACCAAGTGAATATGAACTGAGAACATCAAATTGGGACGGAGGTAATATCTATTTAAGTAAGAATAATATATTTATTTAAGTATTACACCTGAATGCGTAATACTTTTGTATTTCAAATATTTGTAACGAAAAACATACAACTTTTCTTTCAAAAAAACATACTTCGTATAACTTTTCTTTAAAAAAACATATAACAACTGAACAAAGTGGTAGAGTGTTGTGAAGATCATTTGTTGAACACTAGGTTGTGGGATAACTCCCATTACCAACAAGTTTTTATCCATGCTTTAGTACACATAAATCAAATGATGTGGAATGGTCGGTGAATGATGTGGAAAGTGACGCACCACTATACTGACATGGCAGAGCAGATGAAAAAACATTGTTATTTGAGAAATAAGTTGAAAATTATTCTAAATTGAGAAATAATATTTAAAACTACCCCTTTTGAGAAAAAACTCATAAAAATATGTTCATACATTCTATTTGTAAACACACTAGCTCCTAATTGCATGTATACACATGAATAAGACTATAGGAGCGATAATATTGATGGCGATATAGAACGTAACCTTGCCATGAAGTTCGAAAATGCTAACTAAGATGAATCCGCCAACTATGGATAGGGTGATGAAGGTTGAAACTTGGACAAATATATGCATACATGCCATTTGTACACACGCTAACTCCTAGTTACATGTATACACATGAACAAGAGTGACAATATTGATGACGATATAGACTCAGCTTCCAGCTACGAAGCTGGAAATGCTAATTAACCCATTTCTCGAGCATTTTAGGCAATTCGTCAAAAAATCACTATATTTTAAAAAATATACGAAATGATTTGTATGACATCTAAAATAAGTGTGTACAAGTCCCCTACGTGTACATTTAGAACGATTAATTGTAATTACTACGGAGCATTAGTAGTAGTAGGAATATCTGATTGGTAAATGCATGTTAGTCTAGATAGAGGGGTATGATCAATGTTCCAAATGACGGCAAAAGACGGAGCCTGGGTTCTTCTAGGTGTGAGACTCGGGGAAATGCCCCACGTAGTAAAAAAGCATGCAAAAGCCGTTGACCATCAAAGGAGTTGAAAGGCGTAAGCCTAAGAACCAAAGACGATAACTAATTATAAAAACTAAAAAGGCAAAAGCTTTTTAGCTGAATAATTTTTGTGAAGAAAAAGTTGATTAAATTTTAAAAAGTTACTTTCATGTTGTATGTGGAATCTGATACTGACTACTCTAAAAACAACAATATATCTTTTTAAATCTGCACCTTTTATGCATTTGTCCCAAAATACATTGTCGCTTTCCTATTCAAATAGTAGTAACTAATTTGTGATTCTACTCATTTCTTTCTCCTCTACACAAACTTAAACCATACAACTTTTACTTTTCTTATTTCTCACCTACTTTGCACTTGACAAAATTCACGAGATAGTATCGAATAAAATAAAAATTCGGATCAATCATTTTTTGTGGATATCTTCTTCATATATCACTATAAAATTTAAAATGACTTTTCATAGGGTTGGGTGGTGGAGGTTGGCAACGTCTTTTCAGGACCGTTCTCATTAAATTTTAGTCCCTAGGCAGTTACAATTTACAAAACATACTAGCACATCCTCATATCGGACCCCGTGATATATGTAACAAGTAATAACTTTCAAGTTTGAAAAATATTGACTTGTCGAAAATACACTTCTAAAACATTACAATTACTCCTATTTAGATAATAAAAACATGTTGGTACTATTTTGGAACATAGGAAAGTTTTTAGTCCTATTTAAAGTATTTTCCCTAATTCAAAGTATCAATGCATCGGTCTCTTTGTAGGAGAAGTTCAAATGAAAACTGCACAAATAAATAAATGAATATCTTTATGTCCAATTCGAGAAAACAAAAATACAAGAACTGACCGGCTAAAAGGAAAAAGAAGCAGGCTACTACCGTAGATTTCTAGTTTGCAACAAAAATAAATAAAAAATAAGAGACCTCGAGAAATGATATACTAACTAGATTTTGTTTTCGATGAAGTTCAAAATTTATATTTATTTCCCCTGATCAAATCAGCCAAATGTTTCAAGTGCAAAAAACTGGCTTTTTTCTTCGAGGAAACAGCATGAATCGTTCAAGAGTTTCCTGCATTGTAATATTCACATTGCAAGACAGGTATTAAACACTATTACCATACTAAAAAGTAGAAACTAAAAAGCAAGACATCTCTTATATCATTGCAAAACATGGCAAGAGAATTCGTGCATGGTAATCGGTCAGTTTCTTGTCCACAGGCGTTGCCGTTCTTTACGGGGGAGGGCATGGGGTTACTAAATCACTGTTGGTATTTGGTAAAGAACATCTACTCACCTTTCTAATTTTTGAAACACTAAACAGTTGATAAAATTTGGAACTAAAGGGTTTTGCCTAATTCCTACAGGTTTTGCCTGGGTGGGGTGTATATACACTAAGCCGTTAACGAGCCGCTTGTGGATCGCTCGAAAAAAACTCGACTTGAGTTCGGTCACATTCATGCTCGACTCGAATTCGCTTCAACTCGAATATTTAACAAGCTCGATTCAAGCCTATTCATTTTAGGCTCATGACTCGCGAGCCTTGGTGTGTGTTATACACATTTATTATATACTCCCTCCGATTCAAAAACAAGTTCCACATTTGACTTCACACATTAAGAAAAGAAATTTGACTTTACTATGGAGTGCACTGTTTCGCACTGTTTGGCACAATTTAACACTGTTTGGAACTATTTTGATGTAGATAATTTGCCAAATAAGGAAAGGTTTGAAAGTTGAACTTAATTTTGGAACTGCCCGAAAAGGAAAGGTGGAACTTGTTTTTGAATCGGAGGGAGTATAATATATACTCCCTTCGTCCCATTTAATAGTTCTCGTCCATTATTCTCCAGTCAACGTGCATTGTTCTTAATCTCTTACTTTATATATTCAACTTTTATCAAATTTAATTTTTCTTGAACAGGTGTATAATACAACTTTTAATGTAGTTTTTGAATATGTAAATTTTATTTACTAAAAATAATCTTATTAATGACAGGAATCAGTTAACATTATGGTCAGTCAAACATCGTAAACCGCGTGGGAACCTTGAAATAGCACGGAGGGAGTAATATATTTGGAATATTTACTCTAATTTAGGAATATTCTATTTTCAAAACTTACTATATTATAATAGTAATAATTATAAATATAATAATATTTATATTATTATTATTATTATAACCATAATTTGTAACAATTATAAGTTTTTTCTTTAGCTCATACGAAATAGGGTTGAAGTACACATCGAGATCAATATTAACACAACAGGACAAGTAGAAGAGTTGGAAGTCTCCTGGGAGATGCTACTGGCAATTCAAGTTCAATTTCCATCGGGCAGAATTTTACTTCATAAGACCTTCAGTACTACGTGAGGAATGTATCTCTGGATCCATCTTTAAATCAGCTCACCTCCGCTAAATTACTAAGGCACCACCAGGCAAGCATCATATTTTCTTTCTTACTTCATTTTGATCAGAGTTGTTTAAACTAGCAGGCACTAAACTGAAGTACAACATTGCCCATCCTAAACAGATGGTCCGAATTATTCAACAGGTGTGTAGAGACATATTTAAAGTGTACTACTGGAAGTAAAACCTAAACAACGGTGCAGATGGCTTCTATGGGCTGAGTACTGGTATAACACCAATTACCATGTCTCCATAAAGGCATAAAGAACACACCCTAAAACTCTAAAAGGCTTTATATGGGCAAGACCCTTCAACTCTAATAAAAGGGCATATTACCCTAACTGCTGTAGAAGAAGTAACTAAATTGACAGCTGAAAGAAATGTGATGTTAGAAGAACTGAAGAGAACCTTGTCCATTGCTTCAAACCAAATGAGGCAGCAAGCAAATAAACATAGACAGGATCTGAAATTTGAGGTGGAAGATTCCCTTACGTTGGTTTTCTCATCATTTTTTAGTGTAATTCCCTAAGGATAACTGAGTTCTTCTAAGAATCCATTGATGCTGTGTGTTGTGTTATCTATCAGGGTTTTGGAGAAGGGTTATTTTTCAATTTAAGAAATTAGTCCTTTAAACTGATAATGTTTTAAGCTAAGTGGGCTTCTAAAGCGACTATGATGGTGCTGAAAGTGACCATTTAGTTATGCTTATCTGTGGGCATCATTTTAGTGATATTTAGGGAAAACCTCTGTATAATTTTTCAAAAAGACAAATACGACTTCACAAAAGATCTATGAATACATCAAAAACTCCCTAGAGATGATAAAAGCATGGCATACCAGGTTCAAATGTCAAGGCATGCCATTATCTGCTGGATAACTCCCCAGGACTCTCAAAACTTTAGCAAATTCCTGGGATAGGTACTTTTATTAGTCTCAAAACAAAACTCAAGTGCAACTAAAATAAAAGGAGGTTTTTACATAGCAGAACCTTTAGGTTGCCTAAAGCATTTTGGGCCCTTTCCTCGGCCATGGATGCTTCGAAATCCACATAAAACAGATAGGGAAAATATCTGCATCAGCATTGAAAGGAATATCAGCAAAAATTAGCATTGAACCATAAATTGATAATCTAGTTTATCTTCACAGCCTACAATGGTAGCATGTGCAATTATAAAGTAAAAGAAAGTTGCCAATGGATGTACTTAGGAAAACCATCAGTGTTACTGTCAATTGTTTGCAAACCCATCTTCTGCAAGGAGTGCAAAGGACGACTTTCAATCTGAAACAGAAAGTACATCAGTGACAGCAGTTATTATGATTTATGTCTACAAATCCATGTCAGTTTTATAGAAATAAAAAAAAATTAAAAATCCTTAAATTCTACTCACCTTTGTAAGGTTGATATTCCTCATAGCAAAAACAGCAAGTGCCTTAAAAAGAACACCAGGGCCTTCGTCAAGAGAAAACACTATACTTGTCTGGAAGAGTGTAAAATGCTTTAGATTGATAATGTACTTTTCAGACAGATTGGGAAGAAAAAATCTCATACGTATTGTTTTTTTTTGTTTTTCGCTATTCTTCAGTAAACTGATAGCTAACCTTAAAAGGTTTATTGGTGCCAGGAATTATGGGCTCTCTAGCCAGCATTAAGAACCGAGTAACATTATCAGAATCATCCTAAAATAGAATGCAGAGTGTAACTAAGGGCATAACATAAGCAAGGCCAAAGTACTACATTCACAACATCATTTTAAAACCAACCTGTATATTGTGTTTAAGTACATCCAATCCATATATCCTTGCAGCAGTGAGGCTAGCCACAGCCCCAGCATCTTTCAGTTTGTGAGAAGCAACATACTGCACCAGAAAATGTGAAAGAAAGTAAGAACAAGTTAGCAACCATGCTAGTGCCTAAGAATGTTTTGGGAGTACTGGAAATACAGTGAAAGGTGGAGAAGAAGAGGGTGGAAAAGATGATCAAACAGTCGTATATGCAATTCATTGGTTCGGTTGCAGGTTAATGGAGGTGAAATAGTAGGGAATTGAATGGAAATATTTTGACTAATACTGGACAGAAATAGGGAGCAAATGCACTTTTTACTCAAAAAACCTGCACTTTTTTTTTCCTTTTAAATCAATCATGGGACATCAATTCAAATATTTCCTCATTTTTCCAGTCTATTCCATTCAAATTCCAACCATACAACATTTATGTCTCTCTATCCCTCTATTCTCCAAAAGGTAAGCCTTGACGCACCAAGGTGTCGCGGTTTCAAGTCTTGGGAGTGACCTCTTGTCAAAATGATAAGGGAAGGCTTCCCCCTATACAGCCTTGTGGTGGGACCCTTCCCCGTAACCTTGCCTTGCGGGGACACCAATGTGCACCAGACTGGCCCCTTTATCCCCCTACCCCCCCCCCCCCCCCCACCGAACACAGCATAAAATATGTTCCCTTAGGGAAACAGCATTTCATTTAGACCGTGTTCTCAAGCGGGATGTTACAGAACAAAGTGAACCAGCATTACTAGTAAAAAATTAATATACCTTTGCTGCCCCTGCAGTATCATCAACAGCTTCTCTGACCAATCTAAGGTCTGTTAAAGTGTTCTCACATTGGGCAAGTGCCTGACTAGTCACCAGCTACCATGTCAGATAAGATGTACATAAAGCAGTAGAAAATAATCTAGCAGTGCTGTGAGCCTATGACATGCCTGAGGATGGCTTAGAACTCTTGTTAGATCTTTGATTTCCACACCAGGACTAGCTAGTAAGCAGTGTTTTATGGCAAGTTTGACTTCTCCAACTATATGCAAATGGTGTCGAAGCAAAAGGTCATAATTCCTATGAATACTTCCCCCTAGAGAATTTTCAATTGGCAGGACTGCTCTATCAACAAGCCAACTTTCAACAGCCTGTTAATACCAAGGGAAAATGAAATCGCAACCTGATAACACTACACAAGTAAGGCCGTGAGTAGTGAAAGGTAGCATATCTCACCATAAAAGCAGTATCAAATTGTTCACAAGGTACTGCTTCACAATTTGGATACGCCTTCTCTGCAGCTGATTCACTATAGGCACCTCTCACCCCCTGAATAAGCAAGCAAGCAATGTTCATACTTCATAATAGGAACAATGTCAATAATCAATCATCCAATTAATAGATAGACATACACCTGATAAGCCACGCGAAGATGAGATCCTTGGGGTGCCATATTTGACAAATCAGCCGATGTCAAAGGTCCTGAGGTTCCCACAGTTCAAAAAACAAAATCAATCTCCTACGAAAAACCCTAAGTCATTAAAAGTTAACAGCCAATATATCTCTACACGCATATGACATGTTTGAACAGTGAATTCAGTCAAGAAAGCAAAAGATTACTTGGAAGTGGATTTGGTGGGTCCTTGGAATTGAACGCGAAAGGATAATCTTCAACGAGTTTTTCCAATTCAATCGGCTCAATCGTCTTCTGTTTATCCCCACAAGCGCCGCTGCATAAATTTTCGGCGCCGTTGCGAGAAACTCGTAAGGAGATGTGACCGCATCGTTTGAGCGTAAGCCTCAAAGAGCTCTGGTGATGGAGAAATGGCTTAGAGGTCGATTCCAGACGAGAAAGAAGGCCAGAAACTGAACTCACATCCGGTGCTGCTGAAGTGGCCGCCATTACGGCGTGTTTGCATGAGACGAATTGGGAGTGTGATCATGCGTTGGTAATTAGACTTCCATTACCTGCGCTACTCTATCCTCAGAAGGGGGGAAATGGTGTGTCCCCAATCTGACCACCTTCTATGTGTCGGCGAAGTCATTAGGATAATATGCACATGACTCCTATATAAACGCCATGTTTGGCAATCGGCAGTTAGCGGTTAGCTGTTGGCTGGTTATATTAGTTGTTCGATAACAACTGGTTGAATTAGCTGCTTTGAATGGCTGGTTGCATTGGCTACTTGTAAATAGTTGTTTGGTAATTTAACTGGATGAAAATAACTGGTATGATGTAAAAAGACGTATAAGGGCATTATTATATGCTTCATAGTTTTTTGTTAGTGATAATAATAATAATAATCTGATTACAATTAACATAAATAAAAAAACATGCATAATTGTAATTTCTTAAGTATGTCATTTTTTAATGAAGAAATTGTTTTGATTTTTAAATGAACTAAATTCCGGGTCTTTAAAAAATGATAAAACATATAATATACGTCAATGTGCCCCTGCGACATGAAGGAAATTAAGAAAAGATTTAAAAAGAAAATAAATTAAAAGAGAACATGACCTCAATCTTGAAAGGGTTAGATAGGTATGTAATAGTAATAATTCAACCAGCCGAAGGAAAACGCTGGGGTTCCTAGCGTTTTAGAAAATGGCTTTTGGGGAGCAATCAGTTAAATCTAACAGCTATTTACCAAACACATATTTTAACAATCCAGCTGGTCAAATCAACTAAAATTGGTCAAAGAAGCTGAAAAATGGCTTATAAGCCATTTACCAAACATGACCAAAATCTGTTTTTCAAGAAGATAGATTTATAAGTTGCTTTGGACTTTTTGGTCTTGCAAGCAGGCTCATGATAAGGAATGCAGCGCATTCGCGGTCGTGGCACGTCTTATGCTGCTGTCTCTTGTTGACGAGCGAGGGTAGAGAAAGAAAATGCGCATAAATTGTGGCGAAGCTTGGGTTCGATTCAATAGTAAGGGATTCAATGGAGGATATTGTCAACCAATACAAAAGCATGACTATTGATGATTTGATGTGGATGAACGGCGGGTTCGTCCCCCTCCCAAGCCGCCGCCATGGAGTGTAAGAATCTAGGATTTAGAAGAAGATGAGTCAATTTTGTTTTCATTCCATTTTATTTTGTTTGTGTTTTTCTTTTGAATTGTATGTTGTTTTGGGTGTGTTCTTATTTCCTAGCAGAAAGATTCTAGAATTTAGGTCATATGATGAGAAGTCTGGTTTGTCTGTCATTGGCTCAATGCCCATAACAAGACCAACGAACTCTATTGCTTCTATTGAGGTGATAGATTCTAAGTCTGGTCCAAGGGTTGACGACAGACAAAAGGCTTTTTATCATCTTGTTTCCTATTTTTCTCTGATTGTATTGCCAGCCAAGTGACGAACGTTTTGTTGATTTAATATATTTGTTGATTTAACGGTAAAAAACAGATCGAATTTATCCGAAAGGGGAGGTGGGAAACTTTGACCCATAGTTGTTAACAAGTGGCTAGTTCAAGAGGGGACTTCGTCGACAGGAACTAGCAAAAAGAAGTTACGGTATATGCAGGATTAGGTGGAGGGGCAAACGGGACTGTCGGAAGGAGTGGGAAAGGGCTAGATTGTGACCGTGGCGGATACTAGAGAAGGCAAGGAGAGACAAGCAGGAACAACCAGCATGTGGGATGATTCGAGTGACTAGAAGAGAAGATGATTGGGGGTGCAAGAGAAAGAAGATCAGAATAGCGATGGTATGAATCTGGATGGCGGGTGCTGGTAACCAGGCTCGATTGAGTTTCTAACTCCATGAAGGAAAGATCGAGCTTCTCGTGATTCTGGTGAAGCAATTTAATTCTACTAGTTTTGGATTTCTTTTTTTTTTTTTTTTTTGCAGTGGTCGGGATGTTATTTTGGTTGTGTTTTACTTTAAAGGGCTAACGGGTCAAATAGACCCTCGAACTAACTTAAAAAGTGAAATTAACCCCTTACATAGGAGGCTCTATCCGGTCGTCGCCGATTGGGACAGTTTCTGGTGGGATTTTTTGATGAAAGTTTTTGAGCATCTTCTTAATTAAGTCTAGTTTATCCATACCAAAGTTCAGATAAAATTCGATCGGGAAAACAGTAAAATGATTTTTTGAAATGTATTGACTGCACAGTTATCTTCAAAAATTTGACTTCCTTCCCGATTGAATTTTTAGCTAATATTTGGTATGGGTAAACTAGACTTAATGAAGAAGATGCTCAAAAAATTGCATCAAAAAATCCCACCAGGAACCACCCCAATTGGTGACGGCCGCACAGAGCCTCCTATATAAGGGGTTAATTGCACTTTTTAAGTTAGTTCGAGGGCATATTTGACCCTTTAGCCTTTTACTTTTGTCTGACTTTGGAGTTTGGAGCAGGTGCTGGAAGGTCTATTTTGACCGCTTTTCCCTCAGTTATGCGCATTACATATAGGATCAACGAGTAATATTGATTCTTAGAAGGTGATTGACTATGAGTGTTCCAGAGTTGGCAGTTGGGAGTGGAGTTTTTGTATTTTTGTTACTTGGCTAAGTTCTGATTATTTAACATAAGCCATCTTCTTCCACAAAAAAGAAGATAGAATTTATCTAACTTTATAACCCACCTTCTTCCAAAAAAAAATATGTCACTTGCCCATGTATGTATCATCCGTTTCTTTTTAGTTGCAACAAGAAAATTTTACACTATTCGCATCCTATACTTTGAATTAGGGGTGGGCATAAAACCAGTACTGAACCGTTACCAAACCATCCTGTAATGGTGCTGAACCGAATAATAGGTATTTAAACAGTTCTATAATATTTTATCCTGAACCGAAACCGTACTGTTCAAACGGGTACGGGACCGATCCTAGATTTTGAGAACCGAAAACTTTTGGACCGGACCGTTCAAAAATTTTAAAATTTAGGGATAAGGGTCAGATAGGGTCTCGAACTTGAAAAAAAATGTCAAATAAGGCCATATTTAGGATGTTCTGTCCGGCCGACGCCATTTGGGGCGGTTCCCGATGGAATTTTTTGATGAAATTTTTTGAGAATCTTATTCATTAAGTCTAGTTTACTCATATCAAATTTGAACTAAAACTTCAATCGGGAAGACATTCATTGAATTGGTAGTTCAATCGTGGGGACTTTGGGGGGCGCTCTGGCGACTTTGGGGGATTCCAGCTTCACCCACGGCGTGGTAGCAGCGAACCAAACAGACGGTCACCCTGAAATCAGATTTGGGTCTTTCAACGTTTCATTACCTAGGGGATTACAGTACTTCACACAACCTACATCTGAGCCCAGATGCAATCTACCACCAGTCTGCAGCAAAGGCGATGAACAGATCCAGATTTCTACGGTGGGGGCTTCATCACAGGTACCCACGACCTTGTGCCAGGGTCTGCAGGGTCTCAACAGCAATGCCAGAACCTTGGCTTCTAGGCATGTCTACCCATCGACGACGGGCCTTCAGCGTTTGACCAGGCGAATAGAGCGCAGGGATGGCGGGAGCCAAGGGACGGAGTATCCATATGCGACTAGACAAGATCTGAGTACGCAGCGCTATTTCAGCACCGCCGCTGGAGAAATTGAACAGCGACCCAGATTGCAGCGGCTCCTCCATGGAGAACGAAGGGCCAACAAAGGATTTAACCATGGGAGGAAAATTTCAGCAACCAGGTGTCAGAAGGGGTTCCCAGCTTACCCACGATCTGGCTCAAGGCGTCAAGCACCTCCTGTAGGACTAAGGAGCGGTGTATCCTATTCCGCAAGAACGGGTGACAGAATTCTTGGTTGGACTCCTGCTTTCAACAAGGAACGACATCATATGCTACGGGGAGGTAGTAGGTATCAAACTGCTCCTCATTCAAATGGATTTAGAATTATTATTGAAAGCAAATATTTTCGTTTCTATATTGTTGATTGTAATACAATCCGCATATCTGAATCAAAGTATGGGTTCTCTTCTGCTATTGATCTTGATATCGAAAGAATTACTTGGGTGAAGGATTCCATTTACAAACTACTATCTGATAATTGGTCTTACAATAGATTTGACCTAAAGAATTCCCTTTGTATTCTTCATGATGCCAATTTCTTTGGTGGTTTCTATCGCATCATTGAAAAGGGTAACGACTCTTTATTTATACCTGAGGGAAGGAATGGACGGGGTATTAATCTTTTTCTGGAAGGGATTATTAGAGCTCATACTTTACTGAAAGAACTCGCAGCCAAACAAACATCTATGGTGCATGAACAGATTTCTTGTGAGGAATTTTCAGGTAAGCACTCTAATAGTGAGTGTGATCTTATCTCCATGGGCAGAAACCACTCACATCAGAATGATTTTTCTATTTCGGGAAACTTGTTACAAGTTGATATTGATCATTCTGCATCCTCTGAAAAATCTTTCAATTCTATCAAGGATAATATCTCTGAGCATGTACCTGAAATTGACTCTTCATTAGTGCACATTAAGGATTTCTTTCAGATTACTATGTCGCAAAGGGTTGATTCACTTTCTCAATTTTTAATCAAAGAGTTCGAAAGAATTCTTGCCTCTTCCTTCAATAACCGGGGAAAGTTGGAAGAGAGACTTGTTCATGAAGAAAAAGATACAAGATATGCGAACCCGAATTTTTCGAGGGACTTTTTTTCAGATGACCAAGATAGTGAAGCTTATGAGCAGTTCTGTACACACTCGGGGGATGATTTTCTTGGCCACGCTTCAGAAAGTGGGAAAAGGACTCCTATTTCATCGATGGAGGATTTATGGGATTCTGATATGAATCAGGATATTTGCAACAAAGCCTTATTGGTTACAAGAGAAAACTGTCTCCCTACAGAAAACCTGAACACTCAAATTAAGATTTATAGAAAAACGAAGCAGCGGTCACATCTTATGAGAACTAGATCCCAAACCAGAATGGAGTTTTGAAGACTAAGGCTAGGGGTGATCTTGGGAGGGATTTATGTTGTACTATGGGTTGGGTTTTTTCTTTTTCTTTCTTCTTGTTTTTCTTCTTCCCTTTCTTGTAATTTTTGACTTCCTCATTAATAAAACCCTATTTTCCAGGCAAAAAAAAAAAAAAAGAATTGGTAGTTCAAATTTGATATGACTAAACTAGACTTGATGAATAAGATTCTCAAAAAAATTCATCAAAAAATTCCACCGGGAACCGCCCCAAATGGCGTTAGCCGGACATAGCAGCCTAAATATGGCCTTATTTGACATTTTTTTCGAAGTTCGAGGCCCTATCTGACCCTTATCCCTAAAATTTATATTTTTTCATACCAATAAATCTCTTTTATAGACCAACAATTTATAGCCCAAATATGTATTCACGCAAATCACGCCTCCCTAAATAACTAAATGTGTGTCTCTCTCTATATATATGTATGTATATATATTGTTATTTTTTCTCTTATGATAATTTATGTTATATTTTGATATGTATTGAAAGGTTGTTAAAGTTTTAAAAATCATTAATGACTATTCATTTCGAGTAATGTAGTTTATATGACTTTTTGTTGTACCATTTTTATGCAAGTTTACAACTTAATTAATACTAGTATGATTTAAATATTAACTTTCACGGTTCAACTATAAATTAAATTATGCTCCGTAACTAATAATTAACCTAGAACAAAGAAAAAGAATGTTGTGTTTTTCTACTATTTTCATCAATTTGATGATATATTCTTTTTATATTTTCACATGAACTTAGTAAATCAAATATTACATTTATTACTACGTATGCAATTTGTTATATTTATATCAACATTTCACTTGAATTAGTTGGTGTGACAATATCAATTAATTGCAAGATTTGTTCAATTTTTTTAGCATGTGTTTGGCATTGTACGGTATCGACGTTTTGTACCGTTCTGAAACGATATGGTACGGAATGGTTCCATCCTTAGAACCGGACCATACCGGACCATAAGAAACCTCACGAATACATTACGCGTTTTACTAATTTACCAGACTGTTCCGGACCGCGCTCACCCTACTTTGAATACATCTTAAATGCATGATAATTATAATTTTGAAAATTATTGTTGAATTTGTCTCATTACAAATTTTCATAATCTGATTTTTAAATTTTTTTTACTAATAGAGAATTAAATATAATGACGACCAGATGTGTGTTGGCAAGCGTGAAAATGGGAATGTTGCAACTAAAAACTAACGGAGGAAGTAGTACTTAGGAAATTGTTTCTAATTTTTTTGGGATAGAATGTAAATGTATATATCATCCGAAAAAAGTAACAATATAATGTGTTCAAAATACAATATCTCTTCAAAAGAGGACTAAATATCACTAGCACTATAATCGAACTTAAGTACTTAACAACTAGGATACACTAGTGGTATTAATACATATTTTCAATGAAAAAAACAACACAACCTTTATTGTCTCTTATTTTTATTTCCTTTTTTCTTCCATATTTCTTCAAGCATACTTACGTTAATCTGAAATGATATCCTCTCTATGTTACTCTTCCATCTCCTCATCCACCACATGTTACTATTCACCTCCTCATCCACCAAGGTCTCTTTTTGTAACACCGTCCCCAAATGTATTTACTTTTAAGTAAATAATGTATTGAACCTTATGGAATGGTTAATGAGTATACAAAGTTGTGAATTTTTATAAATTCTTTTGCGTGAATAGTAAATTTGCGCGTGGGGCCCACACCGGGGGCGGGGGCCGCCCGAAATTCCCGACACCATATATTTTATTTATCTCGGTCAAGATAATGTTCATAAAATGGTGGATATTTCATTTGGTCCGTGGAAAGGCCCAGAGCTGAACGATTGGCCAAAGGAGGCCCAAATACCGGTATCGGTAATTTAACAGATAACAGCCCGAAATGAATTTCGGGGGCTTATAAATTAAAGTTGGGGAATGTATATTCATTATAAGGGTCATAATGATTGGAAACACATAATATATTTTATTTGACCCGATAAAATAAAATATAATTTAAAACAGTCCAAAAAAATACAACTTTCGGGACCGATTGTACACTTCTGGACAAAAAGGGTTGACCTCCCACATGGGTGGGGGCCAACCCACGAATTTGGCCACTCAAATTAAGGAGTTGGCCGGCTGGTAGAGTAGGAAATCATGGGGGATGATATTGAGATGAAGGGATAGGCATCAAACAAAATGGGGTAGACCCACACCCATGTTTATTTGCCCATTAAGACAAAAGAGCAACTCCTCTCTTCCTCATTCTTTCTCTCGGCCAGCACAAACCCCAGCAAGATAAAGAAAACCTCCATCCTCCTATTCCCATCCTTGAAGAGAGCTCAAACAATAGAGGTCCAAGGGGAAAGATTAAAGGGGGAAAAAGCTAGGAAAAGTGAGAAAGATTAAGGTAATAACCTTATATTAACTTTTCCTTTATTTTTCTTCTATCAAATGAGACATATATCATAGGGAGAACCTTGTGGATGGTTCTACATGATTTAAGTGTGGGATAATAGGTTGGGGAGTGGTTCCAAGTCCAAGAACGGACTTGGAAGCCAAACCGACAAGTTCACCGGAAAATAACCTTTTAGAGGTTATTTGTATTGATTAAGGTTTTATTATGTTAAAATCTTGTTAGGAACTTGATTGAGCATTTCTAGAGCTTCGCCGGAGTTTCGCCGGAATTGGTCAAAGTTCACCGGAGTTGGTCAAAGTTCAATCGGGAAGCGTAGAACGCGCTTAAGCTCACTTAAGGTGAGGATGACCGACTATATTGCTTATAATCTTTGGGTTAATTTCATGAGATTTCCTAAATGAATACAAAATGTGGTTTGCATGGATTATTAGTGATTAATAATGCCTAAATGAAATTACTATTGATTATAAGTATATATAGTTATTATGAAATTACTATTGATTTCCTAATGCAAACTATATATAGTTTGCATAATATACAAATTTACGAATAAATTGTGTATGTGTATATGTTATGAACATGATGGCATGATAGTTGAATCAACCATGAATCCCATTTGTGATAAGTACGCTTTTTATTTCATGAGAAGAAGCCATGAAAGTATAAAAGTGATATTTTGATATTAAGCCAAATTACACACAATTGAGGAATTGTATTTAAAGGAGTAAATAACTAGTATTGAGATATTAGTTGGAATTGTAGTTGAATAACGGATGAATGGATCCTAAGATATTGAATTGTAAAGAATCGGTGATTATTGAGCTGGGCTCTAGACCGATCTGATAACGGTGATTATTGAGCTGGGCTCTAGACCGTAATAGTTATCGGTGATTATTGAGCTGGGCTCTAGACCGATGTAGATAACGGTGATTGTTGAGCTGGGATCTAGACCGTAGTAGTTATCGGTGATTATTGAGCTGGGCTCTAGACCGATGTAGATGACGGTGATTATTGAGCTGGGCTCTAGACCGTAGTAGGTAACGGTGATTATTGAGCTGGGCTCTAGACCGTGGTAAGTAATGATGAATTGACACTAAACGAACAAAGTTTACCATGATATAATAACACCCTAGATTGAGGGTCTTGGAAATTGAAACTTTGATTATACTTAGTATAGTTGTCATTGTACTTGTCAAATGCTTCCAAGTACTGACCTCCCCTTCACGGGGGAGGCCACCTCACAGTTTCAGGTAGAACTTGAAGGTTGCTGCCATCGCCCACTTGTTTCGGGAAGATCAAGGAGAGAAGACGTGGTTCGTGCTTCCTCCAAATTCTGTTTAAAAACAATTATATTAATGCTCATGGATATTATATTTTTGAATAATTATTTGGGGGCTTGTATGCCCATGTTTGCCAAAGTGTGGCATGAATACTTGTATCAAATGTTTCCGCTGTTTTGAATGAATATTTTACATTATGTTTGTTTATGGATGTACTATGTGTGAATGATATCCCAGACGCCTTGTATAGTATGGATGTGTCGGACTGTGGTTGACGATTCGTACTGTACGGCGGATTGTTGACGTGTCCGGATAGGTCTGGGGCGTGACACTTTTGGTCCCTCGTGATTAGGCACCTCACCACCCACTTTGTCACTGCTCGAAACAGTCTCTTCTCTAGCAGCATGGCTAGCTAGTAGTATCCTCACTAGTAATCTTCTCGTGTTATCCCCTTGCATGACATTCTTGTCACTGATTTTCACAAGTATCCTCTTGACAATGGCATCATAGTTTTACTCGGTATCATCGACTCAGCAGTTTGTTTACCGTTCTTCTTATGTACTTCCACAAAGTCCCTATCTCGATCCAGTGTCTCATGCACAACTATGGCATTCGTATAGGACGCCTTAATGACTTTGGCAGCCTCTAAATATATGGGTTCACTCCTTTCTTCCCTTTTATTTGCTGCCAATACCTTACAACTGAACGGATGGTGCCAATATTTCTTGCAATGGAAACAATAATTCGAAAATGTCTCATAGATAACTCTTTGCTCAAAGATCTTTTTGGAAGTAAGCCGGATTGGGAATGAGAGAGGGGGTGATTTTGCTACGTCCACTTCTATTAGTACTCTAGCAAAGTTATGGTTCACCTTTCAATTGTTGCTTTTGTTGGGTTTGTTTCGGAAAATAAAGAAAAATTAATTAATAAAAATTAAATTTAAATGACAAAGAAAAGCAGAAAATAGGAGCAAAAATTAGTGAAAGCTCGTGCTATGCATGATGCCCTTAAAACGTATTTGTTGCCTCCCTAGGTGCTAGGAGCGTTGCAACGATCGTTTCCCAGGATACGATGACTACGCATAATTGTTTGAGCACTCAACAAATTGTTCCAGCGAACGGAAACACAGTATGAACACTAAGGAAATTTTCCGGAATACTGGAGCTGTTTTTAGCTGAAGAAATACGTGCAGATTGTGTATGATTGCATGTGTTGTTGCAAAGCATCTGACAGCAATTTATAAGAGGATTTGTTGTGTGTTAATGATGAGTTAATGGACCTGAACGTTGGACATTAATGAGCAGTCCGTTGGGTAATGAATCATCCATGAATTGTCTATTTAATTCTGCATAATAATGGCATAAGAACGCTGCATATTCGGGATTTGATTCGCACCCCCCTATGCGCAATGAGAGTCTTTCCACCTCAGAATCTTAACTCCTT